GCTGCCTGGACGCTGCAATCATGTTGCGCGCACTATCCGTGCTGAGTGTGCGTTAATTTTTCTTTGCGTTAACGCGTTGTTAACACAAAATCTTCCAAAACACTTATAGCAAGATGTAAGTGTTGTCCACTCGTTCTGCTTCTGTTATATTGTCCAGTAAACACTTCTTCAGGGTGTGCACGTTCTGATCTCCATGCGTAGCCTTTAGATGGAAGCCTTCATGCTGTGATGTCCCATCTCATAGCAACATCCCTTGATGACATCTGAAGCAACATCATTACCATTTGAATTGGACGGAAAACTGAGACTTCTGGAAAAGAACAGTTTAACGGAAGATCTTCTTTGTGTATAGATTACTAATATACTTGGCTGTAAATCATCTTAGACATCTTGGGTTTTGTTCTTCGTGTTGACCCAAACCCATGAGACAATAGCAGTGGTAGAATAGCTGGAAGTCATCCAGCTGCCTTCATTGACACTCCAGTCTGCCTCCAAACGCAGCTCCTTAAAACAGCTGCCTCAGAATGATCCATCTTCCCTCCTCAAGTTTGCTAGGGGAAAGACAGCTTTGACCTGGGTAGAAAATAGCACTTGCATTCTGGGTTAACAGCCTAAAGTCGACCACTAGGTCTTAGAGTCTTATCTATCATTTTTAAACTTCTTGAAACCATGAAATATTGTTTGTGTTGTGATTTTACTTACCCACAATTTCCTAAGCACACAACAAACATCTCCTGCAACATTGTTCAGCCACGGTGCTGAAACCAATCAGATCCCAACTTTGAACAATACATTTAATCATACCTGTCTTTAGCAGAACCCAATCAGGAGCTTGACCATGTAGGAAAAAAGTTGTTTGGGCGAAAAGTTCTTTCATTTTCCCTCTGGATCATGTGAGGGTTAAAAGATTCACGTGACAAGAATGAAAGACATCTGAAAGATTTCACCTGGGATGGAAACAAAATATTATCAAATACATCTTAAAATTAAATGACTAACTTTAACAATAAACCCATTATACCCCTCCTGGAAACATTGTCCTCCAAACCATAGAGACCACGTTTCTCAAATAAGATACTTTAGAGCAGTGATTCTCAAATGCGGGTACGTGGACCCCTAGGGGTATGTTGGGGTACTGCCCATTTTTTTATTAAAGAAATACCATGCATGATTACAAAAATAATCATTGTACAATAAGTTAAATAGAAAACACAATTGTATATAAAATATTCCTAAAACCACCAAGGGTTCAAGATCCGTTCTTGTGCTTTTCTGGTGCTTAACTGGTTTTTCTGTTAAGCACCAGTGTGTGGTTGCGTTCTAGTCACTTTGCTCTGTGCTACTGCTTGTTACAACTTGCCGTACTCGCCATTAACTGTTATTGCTCAGGGTAATCTTGCCCCCCTCCGACGTAAGCGTGAAGTATTGGTTCTTGCCGGTCAGCTGATTGGGGTCAGCTAAGAACCGGGTTTCGGTACTGAGAGCCGGCTCCGCTGTGGTGGAAACAGGAAGAACCAGAGCTAAATCAGGCTCTAGCCCGGAACCACGCTGAGCGGGAAGCCAGTTACAATATTAGATTATAAAAAATAGACATTGAAATGGAATCGTGGTTAGAACGTAGCAGCACTACAGCAGGGAACGTGGACAACGGAGAAAAAAAGAAAGCCAAAATTGAACCAACAAAATGCCGTCAATATCAGGAGGCGTATGCTTTGATGGGATTCACGTCAACAAACGGCAACCCGCCCCAGGCATTGTGTTGTTTCTGTGGGGAGAAACTAGCCAACAGCTCGATGATACCAGCGCACCTCCAGAGACATCTCAGCACCAAACACCTGTGTCATGTTGGTAAGTCACCGGAATGTTTCAAGAGAAAACTTGCTGAGTACAGATCCTCGCAAGAGATGATACGAAAAACCTCCACAACATCAGCCAAAGCACTGGAGGCATCGTATGTGGTGTCACTGCTCATCGCTAAGCCACAAAGCCGTACACGATCGCTAACGACCTACAACTCCTAAATAGTGTCATTGCAGTGTTATTACATAGTTTGTTTATAATTGCAAATTTTTTTCAGTTACAACGTTGTTTTGTTTTGAACCCTTTCATGCATTGTGGTCACGACATTAGAGACTGCTAATTGAATGCTGTTTTCTATGCATGGGGTTTCAGATGGTATAGTTGCACATCAGGCACCACAGTGGATTTTATTATAATATTTGTGTATTGTATTTAAACGTTTTTGCATAATATATCATTTTGTTCATTGGTTTGTTAAACATATATTACTTACAAATCTGTTTTAAAAAAATGTCTCATGCATAAAGATGAAAATATCCTTAGTTTGTTGTAATGCATGAAGGAGTTAATAAATCATGCACTGATGGAACATCACTATATTGTAATTATTTATATAGGCTTTTTCTATCAAAAATGTTCGGGGTCGGTCAGGGGGTACTTGGCTGAGAAAATGTTTCAAAGGGGGTACATGACTGAAAAAAGTTTGAGAAGCACTGGTTTAGAGTACCCGTCTTCTCATGCAATGTTAAATATCAAGTTACATAGTCATCAAGCCATGCAGGGATCATGCATAGTCAGACAAAGTTCATGCGTCATGTCTCACAATGGTTCAACTAATATGGCATAGTCAGAAAACCATTACCAAAAGCATTGTGTGCATCCCAAAATAAAATCACTTTGTCGGTGGGTCAGTGTTACTGTAACAGTCAGGAATTGACAAATCAATTCACATTCATTCAGTCTTTGCAAAGTCAAAGTCAGTCTCCAGATCTCATGTCCTATAGTAGTGCACTTTGATATTCTACCAGCTGGAGTTTACTGGTGACATCATTGTGTCCCTGTGATGCCAAATAATGCAACAACGTTTTTTGTGTCAGCAGCACAATTTTCCTCAGATGTTAAATAAAGTTTTAGTCAAATCAATCATACCAAACCATTCTACAGTACCAGTACTGAAGTAGAACATTATTACTGTATCAGATTGAACTGGTGATTGAACAAACAACACCTTTTTAATTACAACATGCAGACCACTAACACATTTTTCCAAGTTCAGCATCAGCCTTCGTTATGTTTGAAATAGGAATATTAGAAATGGAACAAATATTCAATCTTCAGAAATGTTCTCAATAAATGGAGAGTAATGCCATCTCTCTATCTAGGAAATAGCCAACATTTAAAAAAAATGTCAGATATATAAAAATATTCATCTAAAAACAAAACAAAACTGGACTCGTGTTCTTGTTGTTTTTTCTTCAAAATACATTAGTAAATACTTTGTGAAGTATTCACAATATAACTAACCCTCTCTAGGATATCAAATCAGTTCATCTTTAACCAGATACTATTTCACTATTTACTTTCAGTTCATGAACATAATGGTATAACGACCACACGTTTTACCCATAGCTAGTTTATATTTCAAGATGATTCTGTGTGATAAAATAATCAGATGTCTTGTATGCTAAATAAGGATATTAATAGTATTCATCTATTCAGTATTCCAGACCATCGTTAAACAAGCAGCCTCTCTTCTTAAACACGAAACATAATGTCCTACACCACCCTCTGGAAAACTCTTGCACAGTTATGCTGTAAAATCATTGCATAATTTCTTCAGGGCCTGAACAGTCTGAGAAAAGCCTGTCTCAAGATCTTGTCATAATGAGAACAGTCAGTGATTCGTTGTCCTCTGCAGCTGTAGTCAGTGGGATCAAGGAACCTCTTGGATCAATGTGGTACAATCAGCAGACACACGTTGTCCTCTGCAGCTGTAGTCAGTGGGATCAAGGAAACTCTTGTGGCATTGGGATGTCTGGAGGGGAGGAGCCTCTTGGATCAATGTGGTACAATCAGCAGACACACGTTGTCTTCTGGACAGTAGAAATCCCAAAAACTGCAGTTCCTCACTGTTGCCTTGACAACGAGGGTTCATGTCCATCACAAGCAATAATGTCAAAATCTCCTCAGTGATGCGTTCTTTACACACTTCTTCTGTTTCTGTAGTGAGCAACAGTTCACCAACACACTGATTCAGAGTACAACCCAAAGGCGGCCCATAACCATCCAATGCTGCTGTAATCACAGCCAATCAGCTACTAGAGAAACACTCAAGCTAAATCTGTCCCCTAAAGGGTTATCATAATACAATGGCTGAGTGTCTATATGGTCAGGAATGCTGAAACATACGAATGTTAAAACAAACTGATGGTGGTAGAAGTATCCAGATTCTTTACTTCAGTAAAAGTAGTCAGGAAAAGAACACACACATCATCTTTAAAACCAAAAGGTATTCCTTCTCCACCACGATCCATTTTAACATCAAAGTCCATCAAAACTGATGATTTATCTTTAAAAAACATGAGGCATGTCAGTTTTCATAAAACACTATTCTCTTTTATCTACTTACTTATCCTGTTCATTTTCAAATTGTTTATCTAAGTTGTGTGTTACAAGCAGGGTTGGAGGTGAACTGGGACCTCTCCAAGTAGCAGCCCACTCTCCATATTTAGGTCTGTTCAGGGACTTGAACCGGCGACCCTCACAGTCCCTACTGACTGAGCCACTGCTGGACTCAAGAACTGTGAGTATTACTTTAGTACTGTCAGTTTCACTGCAGTACTGATTTCATTTTTTTTCTAGAAAAAAGTCTGAATGTTGACAAAAAGTCAGAATTTATAGATCTTCTGAAAAAAGTCCGATTTTAAATATTTTCAGTGAAAAGTCAGAATTTTGAGGAAAATTCAGAAAAAAATCAGACTTTTTCAGAATTTTAAGATTTTCTGAAAAAAGTCAGACTTTTGAGAAATAGTCCATCTTTTATGATTTTCTCAGAATTTCAAGATTTTCAGAATTTTCAGAAAAAGTCTGAATTTTATGATTTTTGGAAAAAAGTCCAAATTCTGAGAAATCTGTCAGAATTCTGAGATTAACCCTAAGAGTAAAAGTTCCTGCAGCGGAAAACAAACGAGACAAGACCTAATATTTCAGCTTTTATTGGTTTAATAAAGTAACTTTCCAGTTTGAGCTCCAAACAACAAAAGCATTTCCAGAAAGCGGCAGTATTTATATTTATTAAAAAGAAGAGATTCAGCTTGAACTTTATGAAACATGTTTAATATCAGAATAATGTCAAACACCATATGATGTGTTTATAGAGAAACAGTTATCAGGGAGGAAGCTGCGCTCCATCCAGACGGACTAACGTCCAAACTCAACTCATTGTTACCATGGTAACAGGAGTATTATGGGCTGTGACCAGTCTTTTTACTGTGGTTGTTCCTAGTGTTACAAACGTGTGTTTTCCTCTTTATTTTAATACGTTAAACTAATTTGTTTGAGTTTCATCTGAACTGTCCGATTTCTATTAATTATCCTGCAGAGGAATCAGTAAAGGATCTCTGATTTCATGGTTACATCACTTCCTGTGTCACTTCCTGTGTCACTTTCTGTGTCACTTCCTGTGTCACTTCCTGTGTTCAGGAGACTCCCAGAGAATCTGTATATTATAAAGTACTAACATTTAATCAGTTTTTGTAATATTGTGTATTATTACATACTCTAGTGATACATGTATGTTCTATTGTTCATTTGTAAATATTTGTTGTTAATGTTCATTTTACTAGTTTTATTATATTTGTATCTTGTATTTGTATGTGTGACGCTCGAACACACAATCAATTCCCAGGACCAGTCTGAATGAAGCTGCAGCACGCACACACACACACACACACACACACACACACACACACACACACACACACACACACACACACACACACACACACACACACACACACACACACACACACACACACAGAGAGGTCAGAGTTCAGAGTTCAGGTCCAGACTAAGTGCTGTTATTTCTTCTGGGTGTAGGTTCCAGCGTTCTTGTATGCGCCCACGTAGCCCGTGTTCTCCACCAGCTCCTCGCGGCCCTCGCGGCCTTTGCCCCGCCCACTCCCGTCGAAGCGTTCCTTGTGGGACCCCGTGTACCGCGACGCGTCCGTCAGCCGGTCCAGCGCCGGCGCTTTCGCCACTTTCTGCCGGGACACAGACACACAGGGAGTAAAACACTGAGATACAGAGAAGGTTCTGGAAAGATTCTTAAAGAAAGAGTTCCTAGAAGACACAGGAAGTGAAAGACTGGAGGAACTGGGATCTCTGGCCTCTGATTGGCCGTTGCTAGCATGCTACTTATATATATCAATATTCCAATTACTTGTATATAGACTATTCTGCACTATTTCTACTATATTCTATTGTATTCTATTTACTTGCACTCTTGTATCTGTGGGAGGAGCCTCTGATCTTCATCTTCATATCTACACTGTAGCTCTGTGGGAGGAGCCTCTGATCTTCATCATCATATCTTTTTAAATCTCCTTGATTCTTTTGGTCTCGTTCAGTCCGTGGCCCAACACACAAAAAGGGACACACCTTAGATTTAGTATTATCGTTTGGACTGTCTGTCTCTGTGGATGAAATATGTGCAGCAACGCGTATCTCAGACCATTTACCGGTTCTGTTTACAACCTCCATCCCTTCCTCAGGAGTCGAATCACGTGCCCCGGCGCGTCGTCTGCGTTCGATTAACCCCTTGACTGCCTCACAGTTCTCTGATGTTTTTAATGCTTCTCCGATCTGTAAATTAGATGTGAACTGTGCTCTTAATGCTGATGAGCTTATCTCCATGTTTGACTCGACATGCACACTAATACTGGATTCTGTTGCTCCTTTTACGCTTAGACGCACCAAAGTTCTCTCAGAGCCGTGGCTCAATGACTGTACTCGTGCTCTCAGACGCGCTTGCAGGCGTGCAGAGAGAAAATGGAAAAAGGATAAACTCCATGTCTCCCTAGAAGGCCTCTTCACCTACATTTTGGTTCTTGCTCTTTCACTTAAATCCTAAAAACGTGGATCTTATATTTAAAACTAAGGTTATTACTACTCTTTCTATTTTCTCTTCATCCAAAACCTTTTCCCTCTACGACCTCACAAGGTTCTATTGGAGGGAAACAGGTTTGCAGAGGGGCTTATTCCAGCCGGGGAGTGTTATGCCGTAGTCACAGCGTACCTCCTTACCTCTCACCAATTCCAACTAAGGCTCCAGTGGGGACCTAGCTCCCTGCGTGTGTCTGTCTGTGTCTGTCTGTGTCTGTCTGTGTCTGTCTGTGTCTGTCTGTGTCTGTCTGTGTCTCTCTGTGTCTGTCTGTGTCTGTCTGTGTCTGTCTGTCTGTGTCTGTCTGTGCCTGTCTGTGTCTGTCTGTGTCTGTCTGTCTGTGTCTGTCTGTGTCTGTCTGTGTCTGTGTCTGTGTCTGTGTCTGTGTCTGTCTGTGTCTGTCTGTGTCTGTCTGTGTCTGTCTGTGTCTGTCTGTGTCTGTCTGTGTCTGTCTGTGTCTGTCTGTGTCTGTCTGTGTCTGTCTGTGTCTGTCTGTGTCTGTCTGTGTCTGTCTGTGTCTGTCTGTGTCTGTGTGTGTCTGTGTCTGTCTGTGTGTGTCTGTCTGTGTCTGTGTGTGTCTGTGTCTGTCTGTGCCTGTCTGTGTCTGTCTGTGTCTGTCTGTGTCTGTCTGTGTCTGTCTGTCTGTGTCTGTATGTGTCTGTCTGTGTCTGTCTGTGTCTGTCTGTGTCTGTCTGTGTCTGTCTGTGTCTCTCTGTGTCTCTCTGTGTCTGTCTGTGCCTGTCTGTGTCTGTCTGTGTCTGTCTGTGTCTGTCTGTGTCTGTGTGTGTCTGTGCCTGTCTGTGTCTGTCTGTGTCTGTCTGTGTCTGTCTGTGCCTGTCTGTGTCTGTCTGTGTCTGTCTGTGTCTGTCTGTGTCTCTCTGTGTCTGTCTGTGTCTGTCTGTGTCTGTCTGTGTCTGTCTGTGTCTGTCTGTGTCTGTCTGTCTGTGTCTGTATGTGTCTGTCTGTGTCTGTCTGTGTCTGTCTGTGTCTGTCTGTGTCTGTCTGTGTCTGTCTGTGTCTCTCTGTGTCTGTCTGTGTCTCTCTGTGTCTGTCTGTGTCTGTCTGTGTCTGTCTGTGTCTGTGTGTGTCTGTGTCTGTCTGTGTCTGTCTGTCTGTGTCTGTATGTGTCTGTCTGTGTCTGTCTGTGTCTGTCTGTGCCTGTCTGTGTCTGTCTGTGTCTGTCTGTGTCTGTCTGTGGCTGTCTGTGTCTCTCTGTGTCTGTGTCTGTCTGTGTCTGTCTGTCTGTGTCTGTCTGTGTCTGTGTGTGTCTGTGTCTGTCTGTGTGTGTCTGTCTGTGTCTGTGTGTGTCTGTGTCTGTCTGTGCCTGTCTGTGTCTGTCTGTGTCTGTCTGTGTCTGTCTGTCTGTGTCTGTATGTGTCTGTCTGTGTCTGTCTGTGTCTGTCTGTGTCTGTCTGTGTCTCTCTGTGTCTCTCTGTGTCTGTCTGTGCCTGTCTGTGTCTGTCTGTGTCTGTCTGTGTCTGTCTGTGTCTGTGTGTGTCTGTGCCTGTCTGTGTCTGTCTGTGTCTGTCTGTGTCTGTCTGTGCCTGTCTGTGTCTGTCTGTGTCTGTCTGTGTCTGTCTGTGTCTCTCTGTGTCTGTCTGTGTCTGTCTGTGTCTGTCTGTGTCTGTCTGTGTCTGTCTGTCTGTGTCTGTATGTGTCTGTCTGTGTCTGTCTGTGTCTGTCTGTGTCTGTCTGTGTCTGTCTGTGTCTGTCTGTGTCTGTCTGTGTCTGTCTGTGTGTGTCTGTCTGTGTCTGTGTGTGTCTGTGTCTGTCTGTGCCTGTCTGTGTCTGTCTGTGTCTGTCTGTGTCTGTCTGTGTCTGTCTGTCTGTGTCTGTATGTGTCTGTCTGTGTCTGTCTGTGTCTGTCTGTGTCTGTCTGTGTCTCTCTGTGTCTGTCTCTGTGTCTGTCTGTGCCTGTCTGTGTCTGTCTGTGTCTGTCTGTGTCTGTGTCTGTCTGTGCCTGTCTGTGTCTGTCTGTGTCTGTCTGTGTCTGTCTGTGTCTGTCTGTGTATGTCTGTGTCTGTCTGTGTCTGTCTGTGTCTCTCTGTGTCTGTCTGTGTCTGTCTGTGTCTGTCTGTGTCTGTCTGTGTCTGTCTGTCTGTGTCTGTATGTGTCTGTCTGTGTCTGTCTGTGTCTGTCTGTGTCTGTCTGTGTCTGTCTGTGTCTCTCTGTGTCTGTCTGTGTCTCTCTGTGTCTGTCTGTGTCTGTCTGTGTCTGTCTGTGTCTGTGTGTGTCTGTGTCTGTCTGTGTCTGTCTGTCTGTGTCTGTATGTGTCTGTCTGTGTCTGTCTGTGTCTGTCTGTGTCTGTGTACTCTCTTGTTCCGATTAACACAGCCTCCCCCAAATGTTCTTTTTCTTTTGTGTCTATATCTACGCCGGGATCCGGAGTCGAGGCTGATCATCTTGCTGTGGTCCTGTGTCCTGGATCCTCTATCCTGAGTTCTGGATTAAGTCGTGGACTTCGGGTCGTGGCTGAACCTGTCTCTGTGGTCCTGCCTGACTCTCATCATGCTGCTTCCCTGATGGCTCCCACAGGATTGTTGTTGGCATCTTCGTGGATTCATCCTCTTATTATAGAAACATGCATTTCCAAACATTCGGTCTACCTACGCTGTAAAATGTATTATCTCTTACACACGGCATCTATTGCACGTCTGTCCGTCCTGGGAGAGGGATCCCTCCTCTGTTGCTCTCCCCGAGGTTTCTTCCATTTTTCCCTTTGAAATGTGGGTTTTTCTCCGGAAGTGTCTCCTTGTACGATGTGAGGGTCTAAGGACAGAGGGTCTAAGGACAGAGGGTCTAAGGACAGAGGGTCTAAGGACAGAGGGTCTAAGGACAGAGGGTGTCGTTTTTCTCATACTGATATTCTGAACAAACTGTGCTGTAGTATTTGCTGTAAAGTGTCTTTACTGTAAGGTAATTATTATATGTACAGCACTTTGGCTCGACCAAAAATCGTTTTAAAAATGTGCTATATAAATAAAACTTGATTTGATTTGATTTGATATCTACACTGTAGCTCTGTGGGAGGAGCCTCTGATCTTCATCATCCTATCTACACTGTAGCTCTGTGGGAGGAGCCTGTGATCTTCATCGTCATGACTACACTGTAGCTGTGTGGGAGGAGCCTGTGATCTTCATCGTCATGACTACACTGTAGCTGTGTGGGAGGAGCCTGTGATCTTCATCGTCATGACTACACTGTAGCTGTGTGGGAGGAGCCTGTGATCTTCATCGTCATGACTACACTGTAGCTCTGTGGGAGGAGCCTCTGATCTTCATCGTCATGACTACACTGTAGCTGTGTGGGAGGAGCCTCTGATCTTCATCGTCATGACTACACTGTAGCTCTGTGGGAGGAGCCTGTGATCTTCATCATCATATCTACACTGTAGCTCTGTGGGAGGAGCCTCTGATCTTCATCATCATATCTACACTGTAGCTCTGTGGGAGGAGCCTCTGATCTTCATCATCATATCTACACTGTAGCTCTGTGGGAGGAGCTTGTGATCTTCATCGTCATGACTACACTGTAGCTGTGTGGGAGGAGCCTGTGATCTTCATCGTCATGACTACACTGTAGCTGTGTGGGAGGAGCCTGTGATCTTCATCGTCATGACTACACTGTAGCTGTGTGGGAGCAGCCTGTGATCTTCATCGTCATGACTACACTGTAGCTCTGTGGGAGGAGCCTCTGATCTTCATCGTCATGACTACACTGTAGCTCTGTGGGAGGAGCCTGTGATCTTCATATCTACACTGTAGCTCTGTGGGAGGAGCCTCTGATCTTCATCATCATATCTACACTGTAGCTCTGTGGGAGGAGCCTCTGATCTTCATCGTCATGACTACACTGTAGCTGTGTGGGAGGAGCCTCTGATCTTCATCGTCATGACTACACTGTAGCTCTGTGGGAGGAGCCTGTGATCTTCATCATCATATCTACACTGTAGCTCTGTGGGAGGAGCCTGTGATCTTCATCATCATATCTACACTGTAGCTCTGTGGGAGGAGCCTGTGATCTTCATCGTCATGACTACACTGTAGCTCTGTGGGAGGAGCCTGTGATCTTCATCTTCATATCTACACTGTAGCTCTGTGGGAGGAGCCTCTGATCTTCATCATCATATCTACACTGTAGCTCTGTGGGAGGAGCCTGTGATCTTCATCTTCATGACTACACTGTAGCTCTGTGGGAGGAGCCTCTGATCTTCATCTTCATGACTACACTGTAGCTCTGTGGGAGGAGCCTCTGATCTTCATCTTCATATCTACACTGTAGCTCTGTGGGAGGAGCCTGTGATCTTCATCGTCATGACTACACTGTAGCTCTGTGGGAGGAGCCTCTGATCTTCATCGTCATGACTACACTGTAGCTGTGTGGGAGGAGCCTCTGATCTTCATCGTCATGACTACACTGTAGCTCTGTGGGAGGAGCCTGTGATCTTCATCGTCATGACTACACTGTAGCTCTGTGGGAGGAGCCTCTGATCTTCATCGTCATGACTACACTGTAGCTGTGTACGTATGACCAATAAAAGCTTTGAATCCTTCTTGAAGAAAGACACAGGAAGTGAAAGACTTGAGGATCTTCGGCCTCTGATTGGTCGTTAGCATGCTAGTTGTCATTAGCATGCTAGTTATTCTTCTCACCGTGACCCCTGCGTTGCTGGGCTCGCGGCCCTCCACCAGTTTAAAGATGGACTCCAGCGCCTCCTCCTTGCTTTGACCTTTGAACCTCTTGGGGGCTAACTCCTGCAGAGCCATCTGAAACTCCTCGTAGGTGATGACCCGCGACGTCTTCTGCCTGAGAAAAACATCCAAGAAGATAATCGTCTAGTTGAAACATTGAAGGAGTAGAAGGAGTGTTGCCACCAGGGAAGACAGAGCACAA